TTGTGCCTAGAGAATGGAGCTGGGAGGGGTGAGGGGAGGGGGTGGGGGGGTTGGCCGTGCACATTCCACGTGGAAAGTCACCACCAAACTCGTGTTTCCTGTTGGAATTGTCATATTGTGCTGTTTTGTTTCCTATGGAGTTCCTTCAGCCTTTGTGGTAGAAGAGGATGAATAGTTTATCCACATTCTTGTGAGACCTGGGGGGGGGAGTGTGTTCATGTAAATCTGTTTTTCTTGTGTTTTCCACTTCGTTTTTTGGGTGTTTTCCCCCAAAATCTTCCATTGTAGATGCAGCCTCTACGAGCTTTGAGAAAATGATGCGGCTGTTTTGAAATGGTGCTCGATGGAGAATCCAAAACAACGTTTTTAGGGAAGTTATTTCCGATACAATCTCTTTCTCAAAAGTTTCTGAAGGCCGTGCAGAACGACATTATCTTCCAGTCTTAGCTCGATGTACTTGACTTTGTTTAGGAATGTACATTTTAATGTATTTTTGCACATGATTGCACTGTATTTCACTGGAGGAATACATGCTGCACTGGGATTTGGAGCTCATTTAACCTCTTGGTGCAAGCTCTTGTAAATCTTCCAGACGTGGTCATTTGGTTTTCTGATGTTTTGTAAGACGGTTTCATAACTGAAGTCCTTTAGTCCAGTTACAACGACAAATTCTTATAAAACTGAACCTTCTTTGTAGAAGTGACTGAACTATATTTGTGGATCTTGGAGCATTCTGGAGTTTTTTGATTGTCTAGAAAATAAAACTCTCTGAGAGGGTTGCTTTGATTTTTTTACCATTCAGATGTTGACTGAGTAAACCTGGGAGTGTCCACATTGAGGTTCACATTTCAGTTTCTTGAACTAAAATTAAAAAAAAAATAACCATCCCCAATTTAACTACTCCAATTAAAAAAATGGGCAAATCCATTTCTGGGGACGAGAGGGTTTGCAAGAAGAATCAGGTTCTTGGGAGGAAAGGACTAAAAGGATCCTGTCCACTTAAACCCCAGCCAAGTGGGTTTTTTTAGAAAATCTTAGATAGATAGATAGATAGATAGATAGATAGATAGATAGATAGATAGATAGATAGATAGATAGAAGAATTTTTTTAGAAAATCTTGTATATTATTTAACACTGGCTTTCTGAAGTCATTGTAGCTTTATTCTAATTGAATTGAAGTGGCAAGTACACAGGTTTTCCATTTTTTCCGGGAAAGATGTGGGTGCTGCAGCACTCAGAGGGAACAAGGGCCATGCTTGGTTGTCCCCATCCTTGGGGAAAAGGACTCTCTGTGGGGGAAGGAGAGCAGGAAAGCAGAGCAGGGCAGCCAAGGGCCATCAGAGGGTGAGCAGAGAACCCTCTTTGATGATCTGGGGAGGAGGTTGTTTAGATCCAGTTCTGAGTCATCAACATGAGCTGTATGCAAATATGGAACATTTAGGTGTTAAGGGAAGCCGGGTTAAGATAAGAGCCTAATGAGTAATTAAACGATTCTATTGGATTAGGGGGTTGAACTCCTGTGCAGATGAAGCTCCTGACTAATTCTGCTGAGAAGCCTCTGCCAACGCTGCCACCAGACCTCAGGCTTCTCCTACTGCCAGGGGGAAGATTCCTCCCTGCACTCAGGGGTTTAGGGCAGTGCATTCCCATTTCCTGTCCACTTTGCAGAAGGAACTGATCTCCCGGTGACCTGGAGCCTGCGTGGGTTTGAAGATTTGTATTTGTACTTGTAGATGAAGGTGCAGCTCAAATCGACCCTCCTGGGCTGGTCCCTCAGAAAGCTGAGGGCAGGAACAAGGATGCCAATGCAAATTAAGGAAAGCCAAACCCAAGCTGGCAGTGATTATATGAAAACTGTAATCTCATTCTTAATTCATTTCTAGTCGGGCTTTGAACTGTTGTTTAAGTTGTTCTGGTACAGGCTCTCGAGTTTGCTTTGGCAAGAAATGTATCCCTGGATATTCCAAGTCAGAAAATACACCATCCCCGAAGGCTGTGATGCTTGACAAACATTTATTTTGAGGAAAACTGAACCCTTTTACCTGGGTGTTACCTAATTGTATTGGGTGACCAAACCTCAAATTAGCCAGGTGAGAAATGTACATTAATAATTTTTGTATCAGTGAGAAGAACATTGGGTTTTTAGAGTAATTTGTAAATTGTTCTCTGAAAGAGAGACCTGTGAGGGCGGGCAGGCCCTGGCACAGGTTGCCCAGAGAAGCTGTGGCTGCCCCTGGATCCCTGGAAGTGTCCAAGGCCTGGTTGGATGGAATGCCTGCAGTTTATGGAAGGGAAGGGCAAAACGGACACAAAGGACACGGTTAAGGCAGAATGGATTCCATGGGAAAATAAATATTTATGGGATATAACTGGGGTGCGAAAAGCACGGAAAAGGCCCTGGTGGTAAGGAGAGGAAGGGGAAAAAAAAGCTACCAAACTTCGAGGGCGAGAAAGTGAGAGGTTCAGGTTTCGCCTTTTCAGACATGTTCTCTCCAGGAAAGATTAACAGCTCCGAACGGAGAAAAGAAGATGTCACGCGTCCTTCGGAGGGAGCTGCGAGAGAAAGGAGAAGGATTTGGGTCACCGGGGCCGCTGCTATAGATAAAGGTGTGAAAAGGCGGCATGTAGGGCATCCCCTCCCCTCCGGGGCATCCCGCGTGTGCGCGGGGCGCCGGGGCCGGGGCTGCGGCCGCAATCGGGTGCGTTGCCCCTTTAACTGTGTCCCCAGCCCTCGGGCGTCCGTGTCCAACGCCCACGTCAGCAAATACCTTTTGTTTCTCTCCCCGGCTGGGGCTGGCGGGGCGCGGGGGCTGCGGGGAGCGGCGCGGCGCCTGCAGGCACGGCGAGCCCCGAGGCGGGGCCGGGGACCCCGCACGCACCGCCCGCCCGGCCCGGCTCGGCGGCAGCGCCCGCAGCACCGCCCGCCCAGCGGCGGATCCCGCACCCGGTAGGCCGGGCAGGGCTGCGGGGCTGTGGGCGCGGGGAAGGGGGTCCCGCAGCGCCGGAGGGGCGGCGGGGCCCGCGGGCCGCGCTGGGGACCGGGAGCAGCTCCGGCCGGAGCCGCTCGGTGTCCGCCGGGGCCGCCGCGTCCCCGCCGGGCGCCATTTGCAGCCCCGGGCGCGGCAACAAAGGGGCTGCGCGGGGCGGGCGGAGAGAGCGGGCGGAGGGTGCGGGAGCGGCACCGGGCACCGGGGAGCGGCACCGGGCAGCGGGGGCTCCGGCGGGGATGGGGTTGGCGATGGGAGCGCTCGGCCCCGCGGGACCGGGCGGTGGGTTCGGCGCCGTCGGGCGTGCCGGGCACCGAGCGGTCGGTTCAGGGGGCGGCGGCCGGTGCCGGTGCCGGTGCCGGTGCCGGTGCCGGCAGGGCGGAGGCTCCCGGTGCTTGCGAGAGCGGGGTCCGGGCGGAGCGGGGCGATGCGGGAGCGGCGGCTCCGGGCACGGCCGCGGCCGCTCTTGGCTCGTCGTCTGGTCGGAGCTGCCTGAAGGCTGCGCAGCCCCCGCGGGCGGCACGGATCCAGCCCTGCATCCAACCATCCAGCCCTGCATCCAACCATCCAGCCCTGCATCCAGCCCTGCATCCAACCATCCAACCCTGCATCCAACCATCCAACCCTGCATCCAACCATCCAGCCCTGCATCCAGCCCTGCATCCAACCATCCAGCCCCGCGTCCAGTCCCATATCCAGCCCCACATCCAAGGGATGGAGATGCTCCCAGCTGTAGCACGCTCTCCTCTGCCAAATTAACGCGGTCTTGGCTCTGTCGCGTCTCTTGGAAAATGGATCTTGGGTTGTGCGTGCCGTGATTGAAATATAATTATAGGCTTTGGTAAATGAGATTATTTTTCAAAAGGTGTCCATAAAATCGCGTGTGGCGTCTTTGGCTGAGTCTCACGGCGCTGAAGTCGAGAGTGTAATTATTTTCTTCGTATTTTTTTTTTTTTGTAGAGCGACGTTTCATTTCCTCTTTTCTGGGATGGAGATTTCTTCTCACCAGTTTCACCTCTTGCAGCAACTGAATGAGCAGCGCAGGCAGGACTTGTTCTGTGACTGCAACATCCTGGTGGAGGGGAAGGTCTTCAAAGCCCATCGCAATGTGCTCTTTGCCAGCAGCGGCTACTTCAAGATGCTCCTTTCACAGAGCTCGAAGGAGACGAGCCAGTCCACGACAGCCACCTTCCAGGCCTTTTCTCCTGACACCTTCACAGTCATCCTGGATTTTGTGTATTCAGGCAAACTGTCTCTCACTGGTCAGAACGTGATCGAGGTGATGTCAGCTGCCAGCTACCTGCAGATGACCGACGTCATCAGCGTGTGTAAAACCTTCATCAAGTCCTCCCTGGACATCAGTGAGAAGGAGAAGGATCGTTACTTCAGCCTCTCGGACAAAGATGTGAGCTCCAACGGCGTGGACAGGTCCTGCGTGTACAGCGGGGGCTGGAGGGCCGAGAGCAGCCCCCCCCATTCCCACTCCAGCCCAGACCCCGGGACTTGCATGATGGGCGGAAACACTTGGAGCAACTTCAACTACTACCCGGCTCCTCAAAGGAACGCCCAGCAGCAGCTGTCCAAACACGAGCAGCGGCAGGATTCCGTCAAGAAATCCCGGCACCCGGGGCTGCAGCAGCCCTCTGACATCCCCCACTACAAATCCAGCAAGCTGGAGGACAGGGCTGCCGAGCCCGCCGGCCCCCCCGCGCCGCCCGAGGAGCAGCTTCACATCGACACCGAGGTCGAGGCTCCTCACGTGGGCTACCAGTACGGCCAGGGCGCCGAGGGGGTGCCCAGGGGCTTGGCTGTGTCCCAGCAGGAGCACGAGTCGCCCCGGCCCTCCGGCAAATCCAAGTCGTCCAAGGCTGATGAGCAGTACGGGAACATGCCCTCCATCCTCGGGGTCATGGGGAGCTGGGCTGAAGGTGAGCAAGGGGGGGGGGTGTCTGGGGTGCTGAACCGACCTCTCGAAGTAAATTTAGCTTGTGATCTTTTGGGAGATTTTTAACCTTGTTCTCGTAGAATCCCAGAATGGTTTGGAGTGGGAGGGGACCTTAAAGACCATCTCCTTCCACCCCTCTTGCTGTGGGCAGGGACACCTGTCCAGCCTGGCCTTGCCTGGGCTGTGATATCACAGCTGGTGGCCCCCTCCTCCCCTGTTGCACCTCTGTGTGATTTACAGGAAAACACGAGATCTCTGTGCTCGAAAGGACCTACAATAATGTTGCTTTTAATTAAAAGCAATGTGCTGTTCTGCTCATAAAATTCCTTTTCCTACAGCGTGACGTGACCTGACACATTTTAACTTCACTTCTGGGTTTAATTTATCTTCTGACAGACGACCTGGCCAGGATGAGGTTCAAGTGCCCGTTCTGCAGCCACGTGGTGAAAAGAAAAGCCGACCTGAAGCGTCACCTTCGCTGTCACACAGGAGAGCGCCCGTACCCCTGTGAGGCCTGTGGGAAGAGGTTCAGCAGGCTGGATCACCTCAGCAGCCATTTTCGAACAGTATGTACCTTCAGGAGCTGCCTGATTTGTTTAATGTGTAAACCTGCCTAATTAGACACAGTGTGAGCGTTTCTGGTTGATAGAACCGACTCCTGTAAAAAAGAAGAGGTACCAGAAAATTAATTATTTGGCTTCGCTGCAGGCAGTTTGAAGCGTAATTTCTAGGAAAGGGGGGAGGAATCCCTTGGTTAGTTGGTGGTTTGCAGAGGTGCTGTAAGGGGGCTCCAGTGGGCAGCCACAGTGCTGGGGGTGGGACAGTTTAATGTCTGATGTCCCTCAAGGCGGGTTAACGCCGCTTCTTTGGCGCTGCTCCCACCCTGCCTTTTTTTTTTTGTTGCCACCTCGAGAGCACCCCTTGGTGGACGTGGCACTGAAAAACTGTGTGTGTGGCTTTTTTTTTTCCCAGATCCACCAGGCGTGCAAGCCCATCTGCAGGAAGTGCAAGCGGCACGTGACGGAGCTGACGGGGCAGGTGGTGCAGGAGGGGACGCGGCGGTACAGACTGTGCAACGAGTGCCTGGCCGAGGCCGGCATCGACAGCATCCGCATCGACCTGGAGGCTGAGGCGCCCCTGGAGTTCCCACAGGACGGGGACAAGGACTCCAGGTGGCACTACGGCGAGGACAACAGGTCTGACGTGGAGATAGTGGAGGACGGCTCGACCGACCTGGTCATCCAGCAAGTCGACGACAGCGAGGACGAGGCGGAGGAGAAGGACGTGAAACCAAACATTAGGTAGCTGCAAGAGGAGAATCGGGGAATCCCTCGGAAGGGGGAGAATGTCCTGGCCACACAGGCCCTCCACCAGCTGTTGTTGATCCTACAGAGACACGGGGTTGAACAGGTCCAGACTTGCATGTATTTATGGACGCGCCGCTGAGTCCGGTCTGGTCGGTTCTCGGAACCCCCAATCCTTTGCTTGGTGAGGAAGGATCCATCCTGAAGCAGTGGATGAACGAGGAAACCACAGGATTCCATGGATAACTGTTCACAGCAGACAGTGGGGCACGTCTCAAAGCCTCCTTCAAGGGAGTGGGGTCTAAACATTTAAAAATAGTCGCAGAGTGTTGTAAATTGCCCACTTTTTACGCTCGTAGGGGTGTGGGATTTATGTCACGGGGTGATAAACAAAGTGTAAAGACTCCCCCCACCAGACAACCTCCCTTCACTCTTCAGAAGGGAAGAGAATCTTCCATGAAATTCCATGAATTCTTCGTGTTATGATAAGGAAAAAGGCAGCTAATTAAGGAAGAGCATGTAAAATGTTTTGGCACTTTTGTCTGGACAGGGACTCCTGTAAAATTTATTAGAACGAGGCAAATCTTCAGCAGATCACTCGCTCAAGACCCGTTTTCTTTACAAGAAAATCAGCACGTGAATGCTAGTCCCATTCAACACATCAGAGGCAAATTAATTATGAATATGGATCATTAATTGATGCCAGTAGACGTTTGGTTCTCAAAATTGGGATCTCAGATGTTTTAATAAGCGCTAATAAAACACTCTCTTTTGTTAAGAAACCTCTCAAAAGTGCCAGACAGGGTGGGGTTGTTGGGGCTGAACCGTGCAGGGTCCTGCCAATTTTCCTTTTTTTTTTTTTTTTGGACAGACCTGAGCGTTATTCCAGTTCTTCACGGATCTCAATGGCTGTGTAAGACTTAAAAAACTCTGATTTGTTTTCTTTTTTTACAGTTTTGTAAGCATGGTTGGCTGAACCCCGGGGTTTATTACAGAACAACCCCATACACTATATAATCTTCCCCAGGGACAGCTGGAAAAAAAAAAAATTCAGTATTTTATTTTTATTTGTGTAAAAACTGTATAACCTTATTAGTCTCATCAAGACCAGAGTTTTTTTTTTTTTAGTACCATCATTCCAGGCTGCAGGTGACCAGCCCAAGGTCTCTTAAATGACAACACAAGTGCTTCCTGCTAAGTTCAGTGTAGGCACCAAGCACCCTCCCCTCAAACATTCCAGGCTGGTGGGAATCATCCTGCTTGGATGTCCCAAGGAAACAAAAAACGGTATTTTATCACTCCTGCAAAAATGACCATCACTGGCTTAGGATTTGGAAGGGAGAACTTCCAAAACTTCATGATGACCACCACGAAAACATCTTTACAAACAAGACTTACGTTCACCTCGATTTTTATTTGACCCTTGGGCAGCAGCCCAGGAATGGACTGGATGTGAAAACAGAAAACAGACATTTAATTTTCTCAGAGCTTTTTTTTTTTTTTTTTTTTAACTCCTGAAATGCCTGTGATTGAACGGCTGAGAAACATTCCTGAGCAACCTGAACGAAATCAAACACAGAACAAGAAACATGGAGTGACTTGGATTAAATTCCAAGGTGTTTCCCTTTGCATTAAACAGTGTGACAATAAATTCCAGGTATCAGTGCCTGCTGTCCCAGGATACAAAGCGATTGGGATTAGTCTGGGTGTGTTTGGGGTGGATTAAAGGGAGGGGGAAAAAATAAAGTGTCTCTCTAGGCCTGAAATCTTAACTGCCAACTGTAAAAAGGTCAGACTATTAAGTGTTTCTTAATAGTGGGGGTGTTTTTGGAAGCAGAGGGATTTGGGGATCAATACTCAATTCAATTAGATCCCATCAATCTGAGAATGCTGAGGACCAGATGCTGCAGATCCAGACCTGAAGTGGCTCTAAATGGGCCAGTGGAACAGCCTATCCAGAGGAAGACACTTACTTTTTACACACAGGCAGATAAATGGTTGATCTGCCAGGCAAACAAGGGCTTTTACTGGTTTTATATTGTGGATTTTATTCTCAGTAGCATAACTAGGTATCTGTCGCCACTTTTAAAGTATCTTATTAAGCTTGGAGTTATAGCTCAAGACTGGGATCCCCCACAGGTCAATTATGGCTTATATTTTTTTTAAAAGTTACCATTTTTTGCATCTGTTGCCTTAATTTTGGTTGTTGTTTCCTTATTTTTGTACTGCAAGCCGAGATAAATGTTAAGTGCCTTCTGTTCTCTACGTCCTTCATTTCACATAACCAGTCACACATTTTCCTTGTTTTTCTCAAAATGAAAATAATTGTTTTGTTTTTGCCTCCTGCCATTGTCTGATTGTCTTCTCCATATCCCTGGGAGGATCACGTACCGCTCAGCAGCAGAATAACCTTTTTTCTTCCTTTCAAAGAGGAAAGTAAAGACCATACAGGGATGTTCCCACTGACTTTTATTTTTTTCCTTGCTTTTCTTTCATCTTCATGCCTCTTAGGGACAAGGTTTAGTGCTGGTCTTGATCTTAAAGGTCTTTTCCAACCCAAACCATTCTGTGATTCTTTTTGCTTGGCTTGTGTTTATTGTTGTGTTCACAAACCACAGTCAAGAAGTGAGGACAGAAGTCATCATCCTCCTCCGATTAGTGTCTTCTTTCAAAGGCTGAAATGCTGAATTAAAACATTCTCTTTGCCCCTTTTCCAGGTATTTCTTACATTTCTTACAATTCTCCCTGCCACATAAACCTGTGACTTGTGTGATGCTTGATCAGTCCTTTCACATCATCTCCCATCCTTTTGTTTTCCATTAAATCACCTAAACACCTGTGTTTACTATCCAAGAAAAGTCATATTTTAGTTATTGTTGGTTGGAGGCAACACATATAGGAATGAAACAGAAGAAAAAAATTCTCTAGTTCTGCCCAAAGAGGTTGAGTTTTGCAGAAAAGGATCTGACAATCCTCCAGACTTTTTCCATTGGGTCCAAATCTGCACCAACGTTATTTCTGTTGAGCGATGGGTATAACTCGGTAAGCTACTGAGAAAACCTTATAATAGCATTTAGTTAAATATTTTCTATACTGTTTAACTTAAAACCCTTCCGTGTTGGGAGTTAGTGTAACCTTTCATCCTGTGTAACTCATGAAATTGCAGAGGGGCGGTTTATTGGGTGCATCAAGAATTTTAAACACAGCAGGAACACAGGACAAGAGGTTTGGTGAACAAACTGCGAGCAGTGGCTGGAAAGAGCTTCCCCTGCCTCGGCTGAGCTGTTGGACTAAATTAAATATTAGTGGAGTTCTCTCTGACACTTGACTGTGTGAATGAGAATTGGTTATTCCCTTGTTCTCCCAGCCTGCTGTGAGGAGGGAACTGAACCAATGACTGCAGAGGTTCCCTCTCAAAATGATTCAGTGATCTCGAGGAACAAGACTGAAAGAGTCTCATCCTCTTAACAGGCACGAGTTTGGGAGTGTCTTGTCTTCCAGCGGGCATCCTGATTCCACCTTCCACACGGGACGGAGAGCAGGGCGACCTGTGCGCGGCACTCCCGCCCGCAGCGCTCCGAGCGCCAAAATTCCCTTACAAAAACGCCGCGACACTTGAATCGATGTGACAAATCCCACAGCGCAGGGCTGCGGACACTTCCCGCTCAGGTGGCGCCTTCCATCCACACACACACACACACACACACACACAGAGGTACATCCCGGGCCGGGCTTTAACAAAGCCGCGTGTGCGGGAGGGCATCCCCTCCCCTCGCGGGCATCCCGCGTGTGCGCGGGGCGCCGGGGCCGGGGCTGCGGCCGCAATCGGGTGCGTTGCCCCTTTAACTGTGTCCCCAGCCCTCGGGCGTCCGTGTCCAACGCCCACGTCAGCAAATACCTTTTGTTTCTCTCCCCGGCTGGGGCTGGCGGGGCGCGGGGGCTGCG